TTCAGCAGCAGATCATGCTAGAGCCAGCACCAGTCTCATTATAGAGCTAAGAAAAGCAGTAAATGGCAAGAAGCCCAAATCACCCAGAAAGAGGGTGCTCTTCTCCTCCTTTATGGAAATGTGAAGAGCTTTTGTGAGATTAACACAGTTTCTAGGGGAGATTTCCTAGGGGAGATTTTCTAGGGGAGAAATGCAGTTTCTTGGAGGTAAAGAGCATCACGGTGCAGAAGGCGGCCCAACAGAATTCCGGTGCATGCCCTCAAATGGTTAAAGTTCTTGCAGATGTAGTTGTCCACATAAATAATGACATTATTTATGGATACTTATAACCGTTATTCACCATAAAATAAATAAAGAAATAAATGACAGCAATGATTGAGGCAGAAAAGTAATATTTTCCCCATGTCCCACCTGGAGTTTAGCCCTGGGAGAAGGAAGGTGGTGGTGGTGGCTGATGGCTCAGGTCACAGCTGCTTCCCAGGCAAGCCCTGGCAAAAATAATCCCAAATCCAGCTGGAAACTCTACAGGGAAGGAAAAGGAGCAAAGGAGATGGGATGTTTTCAATACAGGGGAAGAACCATCTCTTGAGAAGCCAGAGATGTGTCTGCTTTCCATGGGGAGAGCTCTGCATCTTCACAGCCTTCCCCTGGGGTCTGATCCATGCTAACGGGGCTCTCCCAACACCCCACGGGGTCAAATCTTCAAAGATTCGGGATTTAGATCACAATCTGGGAATGCACCACAGAGGCCTTCAAATCTGAGGGATTTTTCAGAGCACACTGGAAGGAGATGGGTCACTTGGAAAGAAAAGTAAACAGTTGGCTCCCTGCTTGGCCTTGATTTTCCTGGTGGAGGCAGATGTTTGATTGAAGGGTTTGGGCTGAAAGCTATGCACCAGAGATACGGAGATCACAGCAAGGAGAGAGGCACATTTTCAGATATATCTGTGCTGAATCCTAAGCATATTTGCCTGAGGGGGGGTGTCACATGTATAATAATTTCAGCAAAATGCCGTAGCCTGCTAATTATATGACAAACTTATACAAAACAAACTTATAATAGAAAACCTGTTACTTTTTTTTTTTTTTTTGAAATAAGGCATACTCTTATTTAAGTGTTTTATAAGCAAACCAAGGTCAGTGGAAATTTTGCAGCTGATCATATGAACCCTCGGCTTCAGATAGTTTATTAAGGCTCAGCAATGTCCTATTTATCAGCCTACAGCTGAAGAAATGAAGAAATGAACTGATAGAAAGTAGTACCCACGCTGTACATCGCAGCAAGCTGTGCTGACGGCTCCCACCGGGGTGGCTGGCACTCAGAGGCACTTGCAGCCAATTCCAGACACTGAAAAATCCTGAGTCAGCCCTTAAAACTCAAATGCCTGGCTTCAAAACCCGCAAGAGACTTTGACATTTATGAATAATAATAACAACAGCAGCAGCAGCAACAACCTTGGCATCCTTCGGCTGTATTTCCAGCTTGTGTTTCCCAGCCAGCATTCACTTTTTGATCATGAAACCTGAGAATATCATATGTTAGAGGGTCCCAGGAGCTAGATATATCAGGGAAAACCTCAAATATTGCAAAACTAACAATAAAGTTACATGACTTGACACCAGCGTTGTGCCTGGCATCTTTATGAAGCAGGCTTATATATATTCCGTTCACCTACCTAGACAAACCTACCGAATATCTGTCCTCTCCAGCAACTAAGGGATTTCACAAGACAGTAAAACTCCAGTGAAAAATAAAATAAAATTAAATTAAATTTAAAAATAAATAGATAAAAAAGAATTAGTGTAATAAATGACTGGCTTGGAAAAAAAAAATATAATAATCATGCCATGTAAAATACTGGAGCTGCTTAAACACCATCAGGGAGGAGTTGAGAAGTTTCCTAACTAATTTCTGCACACAAAGGGATTTTAGCCCTCCTTTCTTTTTGGGCATGCATTTTGACATCTTAAGTTTTCTGCTTTTCTCAATTTTTTCAGTTTTGCCCTGAAAAGGCGGAATGAGAGAGAGAGAGCAGGAAGAAGCAGAAACAGGAAAGCCAAAAATATCCTTGATTTTCGTTCTCCAAAAATGGCCAGTTTGGAGGTAAAAAAAAAAAAAAAAAAAAAAATGTTTTGCTTGGTGGGTTAAGGCAAATGCCCCTTTTTGAAAAAATAAATAAATAAAAATAAAATGCTGTTTCCTATCCAAACAAGCCTTCTGGCATTAGGAAATATGTGTTTTGATGCACTTAGGGCAAACAGAGTAGCAGGGGGCATGTTCAGGATTGCAGCCACAGTGCTGGCCTCTTTCCCCATCTCCGTGCCTTCCTCACGTCTCCTGCCTCAGTTTCCCTCCTTGTAAAACATGCTAAAAATAACCTCTCTCCTCCCAGAGGAAGCTCTGAGGAATAATTAACTAATGTTTGCAGAGTGTCATCAAGCGCTAATTGCTATCATTAGGCGGAAGAGGAACAGTTGGGGTTTGCTTTGGTCCTAATGGCTTGTGTTTTCCTGGGTTCGGTAAGCCACTGATGGGGCTGTAAGTGGCTCCCCAAGGCTCTGAAACAGTTTCTGCAAATATAAACAGCAGCAAATTAATTTGGCACTCCGGGAAAGCAGAGGGTCCAGCCCCCACACAGCATGACACGTTAGGGATGAGCCAAATACTCTATTATTCTCGTTATTTTGGGTTGATAAAAGGCCAAGGCTGAGCTGTCTGTCTCCATCCTTTGATTTGTCTGACCTTTTCCTTCAAATCTACCCTGCTAGATCACCCCAGTAGCAGCAGGGCCATGTGGAGCAGTGCCCCTGGAGCAGGCTCATCCCTCCCTTTCCTGGAGGATGTGCCAGAGACGGGCAGAGACAGCATCCCCCAAGACCCTGACACCCCCAGAGCCTGCAGATCTAAAGGCTTTCTTCACGTTGGAAAGAGAAATAGCCCCAGTCAGGTTAAGTGTATACTGGGAACTCACAGCTCTCATTTAATTGCTTTCTCCTAATAGACAAGTGGGGAGAAAAAGTCTTGCTGATTAGCTTCTATTTGTGAGGACCTAACGAAGCAGGGAGATGGGAATAGTCCTAAACATGGACCTCTCCCAAAGTGGTAGTGGAGGAGTCCTCCTTCCCAGCTCCTTCTTCTTTTGCAAGTTTTTTTTAAGAACTCCCATATGTATATGTGCATAGACACACACACATTCTCAGAAAGCAAAGCAAAATGTCAAATATTAGTATTTGAAAAGTGGGTCTGGTCTTGCCAAGCAAAATGTATTCAGTCCTGATTTTTCCCTTTCAGTGCTTTAAAAACGGTTTATTTCAAAATGCAAACTGACCGAACGTCTTAAGTGCAAAGTCTTTTATAGAGCCAAAACCTAAAATTTTTAAGCAAAACTTTGTAAGTCCCTTCCTATCCCCCCCAAAATGTTCTGGAGATGGGCGAGCCATTCAAACCCACTCTCCCTAAGAAACAAGCTTCCCCTGATGTAGAAACAATTTCCGTGTTTTCTGCCAGTGAAAAATTAGCATTGAGGGATTAGCGTTGATGAAAAATTAGCTAATTGCAGTTTTGGGGCTCAGGGTTTGTGAGACGGGGACATGGGGCAGGTGTGGAGGAAAGGGCAGCTTGATCCTCACTGCAGGTGTCCACCAAGGGTGGGAGAGGGTCTCCCCTTGCAATTTGTCCCCTGGGAGGGGAATTTGGGGCCGATCCCAGCAGGATGGCAGCGGCGCAGAGCAGCCTGGTGTCTCGACTCCACGGTGCGAAGCTGGACGTGAAATGTTGTGCATATTCTCCTTTCCCCTGGAAAAAAAGTGCCCTTTCAGAGCCAGATGGGCCCGATCCTTCCTCTCACACCACAGCCCCTGCAATTAGTAGGATTAAGCTTGGAACAAGCAGCCTGTGTTACCCCAATATGACATTAGATGTCACCCATGCACTGCATTTACTGCCTGTCCTCTTTCCCTGGTCCCCACGTTGGAAAGTCATGGAAAAACCCTTTCCCTCCCCAAAATCTGAGGTCTGACCTTTGTGTGATTCAGGTTGGGGTGGCCCTCGGGAGGTCTCATGGTCCAGGCACCTGGAGATGGTCGCGACAGCAGACGTGCTGATGGCCCAGGATCTGACACCTCGAGGGGGAAGAGGGGATGGGAGAAGGGTATCTTACTGCCTCAAGCTATGGCCCTAAACCTTGGGGTGCAGCAGGATGTACGCGGCTATAACCCAGTAGAAATGGGATTTCGGCTCACAAGACGGTCAACAGCCCAGATATTTACCTCTCCATGAAGTCTGTGTGCTGGCACTGCTCATGTCTGGCCCCCTTTGATGGGGACTGAAGGGTTTGGAGACAGGACCCCGCTGGGAGGCACCCCAAATTCAGCAAGAAGAGCAAGAAATTGTATGGGTATCAGCTGTGCCAGGGACAGGATCACAGCCAGTGAGGACATGAGGCTCACCCCCATGTTGTAAGGCAAGTGGGGTGCTCTCCAAAACCAGGACGGAGCCAGCTGAAACCCCCCCGGTGCTGTTTGGGTGCTGTCCCAACCCTACACTGGGTGGATTGGGACATCTTCCAGCATCATCTGGGGATGGTGGGAGGAATTCTGGCATCCTCCAGCCCTGCAGAGGACCGAGGGAGGCCGACCTCATGGAAATCCCCTTCCATGTTCCCGGCAGCGGTGTTTCCTCTCTTGCAAGGGCTTGTGGTGGTGGCAGGCGAGGGGGAGGCACTTTAGGGAGCGTGTTTACAGAGCTCCTGCCAAACCACAGGAAGTCGCAGCTCCTGGGGATGAAGAGCAGGAGGAGGAGGAGGAAGAGGAAGAGGCCAAGGCTCTGTCAGCTCCTCTCCACCGCCACCAGCAAACGAAAGCCAGAGCACTGCGCTGCTGCTTTGCAGAGCCATGTGAGAGGCAGGAGGGGCTGAATCCTTTTCTCCTCACTGTTTTATCTCAGAGTAGCTCGGAGGGTGAAGGCTGCCAGCAAAAGGAGAGAAAAGCACCTGGGAAATTCATTGTTCTTCCACCCACATCTGCTATTCGAGCACGGCCAGGGTAGCTTTGCTCAGACACCAGAGCGCTGGCAGCTGAGGGCAGACCCTTGTAAATTAAACAAAACATCTCACAGCAAAGAAAACTGGTATTTATTTGTCTTAAAATCAGCCTGAACTGATTTGGATATGCCATGTATTTGTTGCATTCCTGTTTACTCACCTGTGGGTTGTTGCCTGACGTGGTCTCTGGTTCTCCCAGTGTTTGAAGGGCTGGCAGCAGAGCAGACCGAGCACCTGAGGGATCTGCTGCCGCAGCCACCACTCCCAGCCCCGAGATGCCTCTTGCCCATTGAGGCTTCCAAGGTCTTGGGCAGAGGGCTTGAAGATGCTCCTGCTTGATCAGAGGGCACTGGACACCATAATCAACGTATTTGGGACTGGCAAAGAGCTCTTGGGGCCAGGCACCGTGGGACCTCCTGCTGGCAGCTCTGGGTGGCCTTGGTTGCATCCTTGGTGAAGACCATGGCCTTGGCTGTATCCTTGGTGAAGACCATGGCCTTGGTTGCATCCTTGGTGAAGACCATGGCCTTGGCTGTATCCTTGGTGAAGACCACGGCCTTGGTTGCATCCTTGGTGAAGACCATGGCCTTGGCTGTATCCTTGATGAAGACCACGGCCTTGGTTGCATCCTTGGTGAAGACCATGGCCTTGGTTGCACCCCTGAAGACCACGAAAACCATGCCCTCATCATATCTAAAAGGAAGCATGGCTCAACATTCACTGGAGGAGCACTCCCTGTCCTCACCATTTGACTTGCTGAGCGAGGACAGATACTCCACACCCTGATTTATCTGTTCACATCTGCAGGGGCACAGACAGGCAGAAAAACAACCCACCTCCTGAAATATTACCTCATGCTGCTCGAGCCATTAGGAACTGCAAATTAATCTGTAACAGACTGGATTTAAGAGCGAAAGAAAAATATAACTTCATTTGCTGGACATGCTATTTCAGAATGAATAATACCGCTCGGTTTTAATACCCATTAAACAGCCAGGCTCAATAAAAAGAAAAGAGCAAAGTTCCCAAGAGATTTCAGCTGACAATGAATATCATACTGAATATAGGCAGGAATAAGAGTTATACTGGCATCGTTGCTGCGCTGTAGTCTATATAATTAGTACTTCTCCGCACTCCTTTTTGGCAACAGCTTTATCAAATCCCAAATGTCCACAGTGAGTTAAGACTTGCTGGAGCACCTTGCAGTCAAAAACTTTGCTCAGGCTCTCACATCCTGCAGCGTTCGTAATCATTAATTATCTGTATGTGATGCTGGTTCCCAGAAGAATGGCCTCTCCTATTAACTGAGCCGTATTTAATCTCAGGAGAATTCAGGATGTATTTGTAAGAGAAATTCAGCAAGCTGTGCCAACATTTCTTTTTCTATTACGGTGAATTTTTACATCACGAAGCCCTCTGTGATAACCCAGGGGGGCTGGGCTTCTCCTCCTTAAGCTAAAAACCCCAGTTCTTCAAACCTTTCCTCCTACATTAGATTTCCCAAGACTTTCTATCATTCTTTTCCCGACTTAGAGCATGGTGACAGAAATGCACTGCCCCACTTCCAAGCACGTAACTTTGACTTTCAGGCTGGGCTATGTGCTTGTTTACACCTCTCAGCATGCTCTCTGCTCCCTCTAGAAGAGGGTGGATTTCCTGACTCACATTCGCCTGGTAACCCATTGCCCAAACCGGTTGTTCCCCATTCTGTATTTGTGCAGCAGCTGCTGCCTTATTCCACCCCGTGTCTCTCCTGACTGAAGCTCACTCTACTCTTTTTAGGCTTTTCCTCCCCTGAGCTAAAGCCACCCTACATCTCAACTTCATCCTCCAGTGCCATTACCAGTCTTCTTCATATCCACCAAAATAAGGCTCCTCTCTAAGCTCATCCACCCTGCAGAGCCACAATCACCTTCCCCTTCCCCTCTTGGAGGCCACATTAATAAGCATCCAAGCCATACATTTCAGATGGTTTAGGAGAAAATCAGGGATGAAAGCCCTGCTGGATCTAAGGCACGTGGCATCTGCTGCTTCTCTTCTTTCCAGAAGGAGTCTCACAAGGAGAATTTGATGGAAATCAAAGTTTCTTCTTGACCAGACCCATCTCTTTGGTACCTATAATTTATTTGTAAAGAGGTCATTTGATGGCCTGTCCCAATTTCTTGCTTCTTCTTTGTAGAGCTGTATGTTTCCTACTGTATTTCCCCTGCTGGCTCTGTGAAGCTCATTTTACTGTGCTTGTACACCTCGTATTAATGGCACTGTGCCTCACCATCCCTGATCCTCAGCATGAAACCTCCCCGTTACTAGGAAAAAACCTGCCCAAAACCCTGTTCAACTCTATGCTAAATATTAGCACTGAGAGTGTTGGGGTCTTGTTCCTAACTCCAGCCCATCAGACCCTAAGAAAACCCTTAACTTTAAGCACACAACACATCACCAGCTTCACCACTGGCTCACGTAGCTTTGGCTCGGACCCATAACATTGTTGGGTCTCAATGTCCTCTTCTGTAGGTTCAAAAATAGCCAGCGATGCTTATCTAGCGATGCAGGGAAATGGAACAGAGAATTCATTTCACACCTGTACAATGGATTTGCATCTGATGAAGGTTTTCCAGGTCCCAAAGGGAAAGCACGTGAGCCAAATCCTGCTCTCAGGCTCCGGAGTCTTGGTCAGACCACAGTGGCTGGGCAGAATTGGGACTCTCAGCTGTGATGGGTCATGATAGCAGCCAGCTATCCTTTTACCCTTCCACCTCCCGCAGATGCTCTTGGAAGCACCCTTCCCCAACAATTAAAAAAAATAAAGGAAAATAAGGGACAAGGCTAAGTGGGTGCCTATGGACACTGTCTACTCTCCCAAGACCACCCAGGTCCAGCTTGGAGGTGTGATGCAGAAGAAGCACTTATGGAGGTTAAGGAAATTTGGGTGAGGATTACCAGAAGTTCCCTATCGACCCTCCAGAGATTTCCACTGGTACTTGCAATGTCAGCCCCCAGGGAGGGAAAAAGCAGTGGGAATAGGTTACAGGGCTTTATCCACGCTGGGAATGACTCATGTCCTTCTTGCTGGAGAACCAGGAACCTGGGATTTCTTCTGTGCTTCCACGCCAAGCTCATACCCCTGTCCTCCTGGGAGGGAAACTGTTCCCACAAAGGCTGGGCAGAGGTGCAGGGGACGTATGAGTGCGGTGGAGGAGCTGCAGGTGCCACTGTCCCCCCATCTGCAGGGTGCATCAGCTGCCTGGTACCTGGTGGTGTGCCAGAGACTTGGGGCCTTTGGGGGATTTCAAACACACTCAGCTGAAGCACTGATGCTTAAAAGCTGGCTCCCTAGGGTCGCTATACACCAAAAAAAAAAAAAAAGAGGCAGAGCATCACTCCTGGAGCTTCTCTAAGGATCTGTAAGATAGCAAGCACGAACCCTGTCTCCTTGGGTGTTTTTTTTTTTTCTTTTTTTCTCTTCCTTTGTGGCAAGTTATTCTCAGTCACGACAGGGAGGAATCAGAGCTTGCATTCCACCCACCCTTCAGCCGAGACCTGCTTCAGGCTGCTCAGCTCTTCTGAAGGGAGACAAAATCCATCCCAAAGCCCTCGGTGCCAGAAGATGGAAGGCTTCCAATGCAAACGACGGGACAAATAAGCCGGCCAGCACCAGCCCTCTGTCATTCAGCCTCCTCTCTGAACCGAAAAGCAAAGCAACTCCCAGAGGTCTCTCCCACTCCGGGCATGGCTTTGCAATTATAAATTATCCCAAGATTATCTCTGGCCCCAGAGCTGCCGTATTCACCTCCCCTGTGCTTGCTGGGAGATTAATTGCTGCTGCATCGGCTGCGCTGCGGAACCAAAGCTGGGGATGCAGCAAGCTCCTAATTACTGGCATCGCTCGGCGGCAGCAAGGGCTGATAAATGTAAAAGTAAATAGGTGAGGAAACGCTTTTCGTTTTAACATGGTCTGTGGTTAACAGGCACAGCCCGCTGCTGGGAAGGACACCGGGATGAATGGGACCGGCCACTCGTTAGGGTTGTGTTAGGTGGGGGAGCGATGCCCAGAGTGGATCCCTCGTGGCATCAGCAGGCAGCAGCCAGGTACTGGGGGGTGTTTCTTGCTTCTACCACATCCTAGCGTGATTTTTGGTGATGCCTGGCTGCAGCATCCATCCTAACCCCTGATACCTCCCTCTCCCGTGCAGTCTGGTGGCCTCATCTGCATCGCAGAGCTGATGGGGCAACTGCAACTGATGGGGCATCACCGTGTCAGGAGAGGCTACAGTGGTGCCCAAATTTGACCTCCTTTCCCTGGTGGATCTCATGCCTCGTGTGAGGAAATGTGGATCCATTTGAGGATACTGGTGCTACTGGTGCCCATTCTGAGCTTGCTTTCCCACTCAAAATCCCTAGTTATCTCCTGAATACCCCACCTGAGCATGAAGTGCCCAAAAGGAGCTCCATCTCCCTTGGCCATCAACAGGAAAACCTCTGGTCTGCAGAAGCCACCCTCATCATCTTCATCCACGGTGGGAACAAGCAGCAAACCCACTGCTCCTTTCCGTCTCCAGGCTGGAGCAGAGAAAAGTAAAGCTCCACGGGGCTGCTGGAAGTTTCTAGACCCCGGTATCGCTGTCACTCTGGTGCTGTGGGATTTCCATGCTCCTGGAAGCACGGCAAGAGCTCAGGGCTCAGAGGAGACACCAGGAGAGCACCACGGCCCCGAGCGGGAGCGGGCTGGCAATCCACGAGGCTTTCTCATGGGATTTCCTCTCTCCCTCCTGGTTCGGTTTGAGCTGGAAACACCATGAGAATGACTTTCCTCCTCGCATTTCAGCAGTTTTGCTTCCGGGCCTGGGCTAAACAAGGAAGTGCAGAGGCGTGGGAACCGAGGGGAGACGCAAACACACGAGAGCGTGGTCTGAACCCATCCAGCCCTCCCCGTGCGCCTCTCTGCCTGACCCGCCGGGGCAATCCTCCTGCCAGATTAATTCCTCCACCCCAGCCTGACGCCTTCAGGTGGAGGTGGTTTTCTCAGCTGTCCCTGAAGGCCAAATCCTGCTGGCTCTCAGACACCAAAGCAGCTCCAGCAATAGCCACGTGGATTGCAGCGGTGCGGGACGAGGACATTTGGAGCAGGATTTTGATGCCCAAAGCCTGTGGACTCCAGAGCACTTGGACATGGGGACCAGACCTCCAGAGAACCTCAATCCTTTTGTTGTCTGCCATGAGATGGAGTAAAAAGGCTTGGCTTCTCAATGCTTTTGGTGTCTCAGCACCCCAAGAGCAGGGAGTATTTCAGGTGACTGAAGTGAAACCACAAAACAGTTCAGGCGAGGCTGACCCTAACCTCCAGAACCAAAATCCCTTCCCTGATGCTAACCAAACAAGGTGTGCCCATAGCAGGCACGTCATGTAGGGATGAATAATGCTCCTCTCACCCCTCGTGTATGTCAGAATAAAGTTCAGCCATCACCACGGGCTAAGGCACCACACAAGGGAGGCTTAGACCAAGCACGCAATACCTCGAAGCTACGAGGAATGAGGAAATGGAAAGGACTTGTTCCCACCCCAACCGACTCGAGGCACTGCTCCTTTCCCATAAGCCTCCACCAGATTGGCAGGAAAATCTCTTTAGGATTATGGGGATCTGTTCAGGAGCTCAGAGGTTAATTGGAGCAACACCCTCGGGTGCTTACACGCAGAAAGGAGGGGAGAGCTTCTGCCAGTAAGGTCATGGAGCTACTGAGCACATCCCTCTGGAGCATTCGGCATTATTTAATTATTGCTGTACGAATAGCTAATGTGATTTAAAGTATTCAAGGTCTCTCAGGCTTTGCAAGAGAAACAAGTCTCTTTTTTTTTTTAAGGACCTCTCCCAGGGGATGGGTGTAGCAGCGTTTTAGCCCAGCAAGCCCTGTCGCAGCACTGAGCACTCAAAGCCAGATGACTTTAGGGTTTCTGGGCATGATCTGGCCCAGACAGTGGGCAAAGCAGCTCGGGTGCATCTCAGGTGCTTAATGTTGGCATTAAGAGTGCCAGTACCAGCCAGGACAGGGCTTAGTGACCTGAGAGGTCACCTCCAATCCCACCTGAAATTCTGTGCACTGCTCAGCACCAAGGGGTCCCCGTCCTCCCAGAGGCCGCTTGCTGAGTGCATTACACCTGAATTTGAGCAGTGAATTCTGAGCAGGCAGGGTTAGTTCTGGTCTCACAGCTCTCTTCTCATCCTTGATGATGCTACCTAGCACTGCCATCACCCAGCCAGGCTCTGCTGCCCTCTCCTCTACAGCAAGCACCGTCGTGTGCCCGCTCTGCACACTGGTCTTAGCTGCACGTACATCCCCAGAGGCATGTGCATGGTTTCTCCATGTCCTCAGCTCAGAAGAAGCACAGCCCTGGCCAACAGCCCTCCTTCCCTGCCTGCTAAAAGAAACAAGGAAGGTAGAGACAAGGCCACGAGCCGGCCTGTGACTCTGCTCCCTGCTGGCTCCCTCCCATCTGCCCTGCCCAAGGCGCTTTTCCCCGTCACGGTCTGGCACATCTATTTCAGCTCTCAAATTCAGACAACTGTCACATATCACGGGGAACAAGAAACAGATTCCCACTGGTGAAGGAGGGTCCTAGGGAAGCATGGCGTCAATGATGTGCCCTTGAGGTTCAGAGGAGGAGGACCCGACTGCTTATTAGTCCCATTTCCCAGCTGGAAATTTCTAGGGATAACCTAGCCAGAGAATTCTAGGGAAAGCTTTCAAAAAAACTTCTAGTAATGCACTGGGAGAAGAAACTCCCCAGCGTTAATGCTGCTCGTTGCACAATAAACCACGTGAACCACTGGACATGGATCCAAAGCATCAGGAAAAATGCAGGAGCGTCTCTACATCCTTCTAAAAAAATCATCTATCTTTCAATGACTGGGAATAGAATAGAAATAGAAATAGAAATAGAAATAGAAATAGAAATAGAATAGAATAGAATAGAATAGATAGAATAGAATAGAATAGAATAGAATAGAATAGAATAGAATAGAATAGAATAGAATAGAATAGAATAGACCCTTTTCTGGGATAGATTACACAATCTCTCCAAGTCTACCTTTCAGCCCCGTTTCCCCTGATTCTAGGATTTCCTCATTACCTTGTGCTAGATGATTTCTGTCTTTGAAAGGACTCAAATTCACAGATTCATCCTTACTCCATTCCCCTCCTTGCTCCTCTCACAAGGCCTCTTCTCCAGCTTCCCCGGTCAGCGTGAGCTCCCAAGCATCACATCATGACCTCTCAGAATCACAGGGCTGAGCTATTTTGCCCCTTAGCACTTCCATTCATTCAAAGATGCTTTGTCTCAGAGGACAGGAAGGACAGCAAGTTGGAAGCACGAGGTAAGGCCACAATTGCTCCTCCAGAAGTCAAGCACATGCTCGGTGGCCAGCTAGATAATACCTCGCACAGTCCGGCCACAGAGAGCTAGGAAATGAGTCAATAGCACCGTGCTGCACCTTCACACTGGCAGGAAAAAGAGTCAGGGATGAAGGCGAGTCATGAAATCAGAGCAGCATTACTCAGCATGGTCAGCTTGTCACGGCATCGTGTGATCGACCACTTGAGTCACAGGAGAGGAATTCATCTCTGTTAAGTTTATGCACCTAAAGCGCAGTCTTTTATGCCTGGCCACACGACTTCGGTTTCTTTTATAGCCTGTGATTCATCTGACCTCTCTCGGATACTGCTGAGGATTGAATCACGCTCTGGTTCTTCCTATTCCTCTGCATCAGAAATAAAGGGAGCCGACGGTGACTAGTTCATCTCAAGTCAGACATCTCACTTTTAGGTGCCAAACGAAGAGCAAAGGAATCCCACTCTGGGTATTGTCATTTCTCCTTAATTGAAGGGCTTAAAGCTTTCAAAGCAGGAGGACAATGACAGTTGAATTTGTGGTTGGGCTTTTCATGCCAACATTCAGAGACCGTTCCTCCCCTGCCAGCTTGCTCAGCTTAATTCATGGGAATGTCTAGAAACGGGAACCCCTGGAGCCCAACAAAAAGGAGCCCAGCTCTGGCATTTGTGTGAGCAACCCGTCCTTTATTATTTGAGAAATGCCAGCATTGTGCAGCAGCTATAGGCACCAGGGAGCCTACAGAGGCTTCTTTGTCACAAAGACCCACGTGCAAAGCTCCACGTGGAAGGTGCTCTGCTGTTTCTGCAGTATTTCAGGTGTAAAGGCACAATGCACTGCTGGTTTTGGGGGTGTTTGAGGAGTTTATAATATATAAGGAATCTGCCCTAAAATGTCATTTGGGATGGGAGGAATTGGAGAGCCAGGAAAGACAGGGTAATGCTGGTTAATTAAAAGATGTATCACGAGTGTGGTGCAAATCCTCCTGTGCTGCAGAGAGGACAGGAGCTTGGTGGCAGCTGGAGTGATGGGGAGAGCCACGGGAGTGCGTTTTTCCCCCCAAAAGGACCCAAATCCCCTTAGAGAATCCTACAGCACCACAAGCCACGTGGATGGAGGTGAATTATTCCTCAGCCCCTGGAAATTGGATCCCTGGGGAGATGAGGTTTCCCTCTCCGTTAGGAGATAGATCATAGAGGACTAGAAACAAGGATCTCATCATTTCAGCTTCCCACCCCCAGAAGTGTTGCTTGTACAGGAATTTGAGGCACAGCAGAGTGAGGAGGGAAGGAAAAGGCTTGGGCTGTGCCCATGGGCTGCACTCAGACCCCAGGGGGCTGCAGCAGGGCCAGGAGGAGAGCACTGGGGAAGGAAGTCTTACGGCAAGGTCGGACAGCAGCTGTCTCCAGGAATGAATCCAGGAGCAGCATCCTCCTGGGATGGGCCAGGAGGATCTTGCATTGACTGCCTGCCCTTCCTGAGTTCGGGAGGAAATTAATCTCCCACCGTGGGCTTCGGTTTATTTTTACATTGCGAGTTAGCCCAAAGGGAAAAAAAAATCATTAAAAAAAAATAAAAATCTATTCCCTAAAAGGAATAGCAAATTTCACAGCGAACTAAGGAGATTAGTCAAATCCCTGTGACCGTCAGCAGTTTCACTTAGGTCAAAGCCTGGCATAACTCAATCTCTGTGAGCATGGAGAGGAGCAGCTCGGACTGCCTGGCTCTGCAGGCGGAGCAGCCTCTCTGAAAGGGTCCTTCTGCAATATCTGGAGGGAAATGTCCCTTCTGCAGCCCCAAAGAGGAGAGGCAAGCAGTCAGGCTGGCCCAGAGCTCAGACAGTGAAAGGGAGCGTTATCTCTTGCAGATACCACAGGGAGACCTTCCAAGCTGGGAAGCAGGAGGGGAACCGATTTCCCAGGCTAGGAGACATCAAAGACTGTGTGAAACCTTCCGAAAATGCTCACCCTGAATTTCTCATGCCTGGGTGGGCACATGGGATGACTCTCCATAGGGTCAGGGGAATGGAGACAGCGGGAGCTGTCGGGTTCTGATTCGCCTCTTGCTCTGGGGGAGAAAAAGGAGAGAATTTGGTTCCAAAGCTAAAAATAAAGACACCACCCGCAGGTTTGGTTTTGCACAAAAAAATTGGCCTGAGTGAGGTAACCTAGGGCCCTTTCTGGATGAAATCATTCCCATCCCCTGGCCAACATGCCTGTGCTGATGGGCTCAAAGAGCCATCAGCCTTCTAGGCTGTGCATCCAGCTTCATCTCGGGGACCAGCGGGAGCTGTCACGCCACCACCACACCGCACACAGCGAGCGGAGAGGTGTTGGAGAAGGAAACCGACCCTTTTTTTGGGATTGCTCCAGGGAGAAATGGGGCTTTCAGCTCCTACTCCAGGGATTTTAAATATATGTAACCCTCTTGGTGCGACAGTCTCCCTCCCGGTTATATGAGTAGAGATGGTATTGTTTTAAACTGTGTCCTGAAGCCAAATAAGATGGGAAAGCCCATGGTGTCTGCAAAGAGGCTGGAGGCTCTTTGCAATTGTTTCCCTTTCCCTGATAAAGCTGCTGGTGTGGTTTTTTGAAGAAAGTAGAATTTTTTTCGCAATTCTGAGTTCGCCTCACAGGGCAGCTCGTTCTCTCTTTGTGGCTTCTCTGCCATTTGAACCCTTTCAGTTGTACCAGCCCTGAGGTTTTCAAAGTCATGAGTCAGGCACTGGGAAATCCTTACACTGATTTAGAAACTACAAGATTCAAAACAAAACAGCCAAAGACAAACCAAATGCGAGGACTTTCGAGTTGCTTCTGGTCTTCGAGCCTTTAGTGTTGAGAGTGGAAGGGTCCCATCACAGTGCTGCTGGGCACCATCACACCTGCTTTTCCATCCGCTGTTTCTTTTCTCGTGCTATGAGCTCTCCAGGGCAGAAAGCATCTTCCTGTCCCGTGAACAGGCAGAATTTAGCACAAGGCAGTCTTCAAGCAGGAAGCAGCCTCCTGGGCAACAGGGGAATGAATGAAAATCATTACAGTCAGCTGCTTCACCTATGAAATACTCATCTGAGGGGAAAGCAAGACAGCAGACAGGATAAGGGAAGGCAGCCAGCACCCTTGGCCACCACAGCTGCCAGCATTTTCAGCTTTTGTATCAGCTCCTGACCCGGTGAGAGCTTTGCTGCAGGAAAAAAAATAATACATAAAGAAAAAAGAAAAAAAAAAAAAAAAAAAAAGAGCAATAAAGATCATTCTAGTGCTGCCTGTGTCAAACCACAGTCTGCATACAGAAAAAGACATTCGGGTGCTGGTTTTAGTAGCAGACACTGTGGGAGCCCCTGAAAGCCCTCTCTGCCCAGGTTCCCAGTTTGATTAGTGCTGTTGGAGCAAGCAGGGCTCCCAGAATTTATATCTCTGAGGCATGGCACAAAAGGAAAAAACGTGGCCCTCACCTCCGCAGGTGGAAAAAGCAGATCCAGAAGGATGGGGTGACCGCATGGCTCTGACCTCCATTTCTGCTGCAGATGGTCTCTTCCACCACCAAATGTCCCTGATCCTACGATTAAAGCTTATTTTGACCTTTCTTTAAGGTCTGGGAGCTTGGAGGAATGAGTGAGGAAGCCCGCATGCTCTTGCCTGCTGCAACAACCTGACCTTGGAGGCAGAAATGCAAAAGTGAAAATGCAAGAAAGAAAAGCAAAACCTTCAAAATCTTTGATCCGCACGCAGAAGTGGGATCAAAATCGCAGTACTTGGCAGATCTACCTGTGTCGAGGCTGAATTTGGATCTGGACCTGTGGGAATAATAATAATAAAAAGGGAACATCCTCTGCTATTTCCATAACATGGAGCTGACCAAAATCATGAGTTGGGCTTTGCCCCCAGGGAGTCCAGGCTGGGCAGAGGTAAGGGCCCTTTGCTCCTGATGATCTCACCAGTCTGACATTTCTCCTCATGCATTTCCCCATCCTCCAGCCCCCCCCCCCCCCAAAAAAAAAAAAACTAACTGGAAGCACACCTTTCAGAGTAACATTTTCCAGACTGCTTTGCAAAAGGTGAAGCTGGATGCGATTTTTCAGCAGGGCTTTGGCAGAAGCTCGCTGCTCTTACCTGGCCCCTCGGCGTCTGCACCCCGATAGATTCCTCCAGCACATCTCCAGCTCCTCTCGGCTTCGCCTTTTTGTGGTGTTTGTTTCTTTGCCCTTTTTAAATAAACCATTGGCAGTTACTATGGTAACACGCCTCATTCCCTCTCCCTCCTCCCTAAAAGTCTATTTCTATTTAACAGGCTTTTAAAAAGGCTCTATTTATACTTTCTTTTGTTATCCTGCCCCTGCTCCCTTGCAGCCAGCCAAGGGCAGACACGGAGAAGTGCAGGCACTAGCCTCTGTTACTAATAATGGCCATCCATAAACACGAGAGCGAGCCGTGGGGATCAAAGCTGTGACCTTCATCGGGAGATGCTCCGCTCCTTAGGCGAACAAAAAGGAAATCTGAGGCACGACACACGGCGTGCTCGGGCGGAAAGCGATGCTAGCAGGGGCCATCGCCACCTTCCACCCTCCAGCATCACACCGAGAGGCTGCAAGTCCTCCTAAAAAGGCCAGCAGGCGAAAAGCAGCCTTGTTGTCACTGCAGGCAGCTCCCACCTTTCCTCCTTTCTCACCTTCAGACATTTGTCTGCTCTGCTGGTAATTGGATAAAGGGAAAAAGAAGAGCTGTGCTGCTTTTTTTTTGCTTCCCAGGAGGCAAAAAGAAAGGCTCTCTCCTTATGCTTTTTCATTTTAACTCTCAGGGCTGCTAGCAAGCGTCAAGGTTTACTTCCTTAAGGCTCCTTATATCATTTAAACGTGCAGGTTGCAATTTCTCTTAACCCTTCACGGAAGCTGTAGGTGCCCGAAATTTTTACCACAGCAGCTTTTCTCCTATTGTCTTTCAGGCCTTTCTGCTAATAGAAAACAATGGGTGTGGAACAGTCCAAGTCCCATTTGGTTCCTTTCTCCATTGAGAGGTTTCACTTGCACGGTCAGGCCGGTGCCAGAAACCACACGTTTTTTGGTCATCTTTAGGGTGTTCCAGGAAACATATTGTTGACAGAGCTCGATTTTTCAGTAGGAAAAGCGAGCAGAAGAAAGACTTCCCAGCCCTCCCCTTCTTCCCTCCACGTAAAGACAGCTTTCGGGGCTTCTTTGCTGCCAAAGCGTGACCCCAAATATCACAAAACCATTTTCCTTCTCACTCCCCAGCCTGGCCAGCACAAGAAACTGTGACGTTCCTCCAGAAAGGGTTAAGATATCTAAAACTTCAGCCTCAATAAGCAGCCAGCAAAAGTGTCCTGTCCCCAGGGTAGGCTCAGTGTATGAGAATTTGCTCAGATCATGTAATGTTTGTAACTTGATTTCCTGCCGGAAAGCTTCAGTGGGTGGAGTTTCTGCTGAACCAGACAGAACTAGAATTATTTCCTTCTCCGGATTGCCTGTGCATGTCCAGTCAAGCTCAACTGAATTAATAGCAACCAGCTCGTTTCCCCCACACCCCCTTTCCCATTCACCTCTGGCAGCGGAGGCACGGGAAGTATGCGATAATCCTGTTGCCAGGCCGAGTGCCTGAGGAGGTGGGATGGTCCCACAACCTTCTTCAGGCCCAGCCTTATTTTTTTTTTTTTTTTAAATATTCTGGAGAAAGGATGTCCTAATGACCAGCCTGCTGCCCTACTGATTTCCTACACGGCCTTGGGAAAGCCCCTTAACCTCTGCCTGCCCCCACTTTCTGTGAAATGGAAAGGAAACTTGTGGGAGGCCTGGTGTCCCTGCTGCCACTGCCGGTATCAAAGCAAGGCCCGCCAGGAGCAAAAGCAGAAACTTCTCCAGTTTAAGCTTAAAAACCAGTCACTCTTTTTTTTTTTTTTTTTTTTTCCTTTTTCCTGGAACAGTGCAGACCTGTGGTGGATTGCCACGGAGGCACTTCTGCAAGGGAAAAACAGCTCCCACACTCGCAACTGCAAACTGATTCATCCCTCCCCTGCCTCCGCCACCCCAAGCACCACGAGTTTCCTTTACATCCCTCACCGAGCACAGCCAAACCCCCTCAGGAAGGCCAGATCCTGCTCCAGGTGCTCAGTTTTTGTACCAAAATTCCAGATTTCACCTAATCTATTGCCAAAGAGGTCTGAGCTGAACCACAGCAAGGTACTTTCATCTAGACTAAGAGCATCCATAACGGGGTGAACATGTGCCTAGCCTTGTAAGATCCTACAGATCTTGTAGGAGAAGGAATTAGAGCCCAGGCCACGAATACAGCTCTGCTGGCTTTGAATGGTGCCAGATCAAGTTATTTGGGGTTCATCTGGTAATCCAGACCCTTCACCATCGATGTTAAGACAAAGGTGAGCCAGCTCCCTTCCCTTGGTCAACTTCCAGAAGTGTCTTTAGAAAATCCTCCCCATTCACCCCAACAAAAAAAAAAAATAATAATAATGAGGCACTGTTATTATTATTTTTATTTTTTTTTCTCACGGGATCAAGGAGGAAGCTCCTCCGAGGCACAGAGACATTTCTGAGCTCCATCTTTTTCTCTTTCTTCCAGTCACCGTCTCGGCACCAGCCACAGAGCTCGTCTCTGCCGGATGCCCGGGGCACACCCTCTCCCCTCCACACCGATAGTATCATGCCCTTAGGATGTGTCTGCACTCCCAGGTAGAGCTGGTTACGCAGAATAGTCCTTTCCTTAGGGCTGGCTAAGTCTGGATGTCTGGGTGTGAGACAGAAAGTAGGCCCTGCTGCTTATCGCACACGGAAAATTATGCAACTATGTCCTTTAATGAGGAGAACGAAGGCTCTGAATGCGTCCCTGAGGTTGGCTGCAGGTAATTTCTGGCAGCGAGCAGGGCTCTTGCAGCACGTACCAAGGTTTCCAAGTGCCAGATGAAGTAGGGTATGGATGGAGCAACCAGCTGCCCCCCACCAACCTCCTTAAATCAAAGGGCCACTACACCACCTGCAATAAAAAAGGAACAAAGCTTGAGGACCACAGCACGTAGCATCACCAGGACAGCCACTAACTCATAAAAGTCAAATGGTTTTCTGTTACTGCTACTCAGCAATGATCCCTATGCGGCCTCCCCCATCTCTCGTCCATGCAAATACAGCCTCATAGGGTCTGGGCCCAGCTCTTTCTGGTCTTTGTCAGCTATTAATACTCGGGGAAGCCGTGAAGTATGCAAGCAAGGTTTTGATGAGTGTGGGAACAAGAAAGGCGATACCACGTTTGAGTGAACTTCAGTTTCGCTCCCGTGCTGAATGCAACTCAATTAGTCAGTGCCTTCAAGTGAAGCCCAAGTGTTGGCCCAGCTATTAAGAGACTCTTCAGGAAGAGGTAAATGCTCTATTTTCAGCCTCTCCTGGAGGAAAAGCTAACTTAATTAAAAAAATAATAATGTGAATCAGAACTTTTGCTTTTTTTTTTTTCCCTAAACTTTCTCAGTTCTCCCAGAAAGAAGTATTTACTAGTCACTGCCCAGCAGCTTCCAGGAGCTCTGCAAGCTGGAAAAAGCCAGGCTGCAGGTGAACGTGACGTCTGTCAGGAATGCTAACCAGAAACCTCATCCAGCTGTCGAAATCCCAGAGGAACACGATGTGGTAACTGCTCCACCAAAGGAGCTGAAAACTACCTGCTCTACTCGGTGGAGGACTCATTCAGTTTAAATAATTAGTGGATGGGAAGAAGGAGTATCTGTGTTGAAACAATAACACCGACATACCAGGAATCCATGTTTCACTTCCTACCCCGGTGGAGTGGTTCCTCCTTTAGCCTTCCCAAACAGGAATTATGATTTTTCTGCTCCTTTCCTCCAGCAGCCACGAGAAATATTCTCTGCAGGTAGCAAAAAGGAGAGTAATTTTTTCCATCAGTTCGGTGTTACAGCGTCCTGGCTCAAAGAAAGCTGCATTTGGCTGAAATGGAAGTGACAGAAGGGGTAGGAAAGGACCATGGAAAAAAAATAAAAGAATATTACAGAAACTCAGACAAAGCAGGTGTATAGCTGCTGGCCCCTGGGATTAGTACCCACACAGAGGTTACAATCCTTCCACCTCGCTTTTCAGTGCCTTACCCTGAAAACCATGCTCAAGGATGCTACCACGCACAGGATATTGTCGATATTTGTGCTGCAAATCCATTCAAACTCAGGAAATTACAGCTAACATGAAGCCTATGTGATCCTCTTAAGGCAGTGACCTGATTGTGGAAACATTTCTCTCTGCCTGTTTTTTTCTAAAATATTATTGAGAACAAGGCAGGGTTTGGCTGAAGATGGACTCAGGCTCGCCAGGAGACCTGAAGGTGTTCCTCCGATCAATTTTTTGTATTCACACACAGTAAAGGATACAGAAAAACAAATACATTCCCACAGAGCCTAAAGCAGTTCCCCATCACACCTGGGAAACCCCAGGGAAGGAACAAGGGTTGTGCTGCTTCAGCCAGAAAGGATTTCACCAAAAACACCCAACCAAGTAAAGCAGCTGCAAAGTTGCTTTTCTTTTTGCTGTTTTTTGGGACGGTTGGGGTGTTTTTTTTTTTGTGGTTTTGTTCTTTTTTTTCTTCAGTTTTCAGTTCTTTGCTTTGAAAGAAAGCATTTGCAAGTGGGTTTCTCAGTCAGTCCTACATCAGCAGCCCCAGCAGCCTCTGGAGCTTTTGCTAAGCTCTGCCAGAATGATTTTAGCACCCCAAAAAGACATGCTCTAAGTATTTCATTTAAAAAAATGACGTGAATAGCAGATCATTTTCTTGCTTAGAAAGCACAGAGGGGAATCAAAGAGCAAAACCTAAATGTTGGCAGCAAAGGAAGTCACGGTTTTGTTTCTGTTTTCTGCAGGGCTCCACTGCAAGGTGTGAGTTTGCTGCTGTCTCATCGAGGTTAGGCTGATGCTGTAGATGCTTTTCCTCTCCCTGTAGAGGAAAAAGCAGGATTTTGGCATGCCGGTGGATGGCCCTTTTATCCAGCTGCCTGTTTTATTGCTTACGAGGACTGAACATCTCTAACATCCTCTGAAATTCACCAATAGAGTGATAGATTTAGCAAAAGCTCAATTTTCTCTACTTATCCAGATACAAAGACTCATTACATTAAGATTGGTAAAACTGACTTTTCTTTACTAATTCTCTGAGTGTGTGTTGTTTTAATAAATTCGGAATCCTTTTTTTCATCTCTTTTTTTTTTTTTCATATGGAAGCACTGAGCATCAAACATCTGCAGGTTTTGGGGGAGGAGGAGGAGTGGAGGCTGTGGCCTCCTGTCCCTTTGAACACGGTGGGTTCTCAGAAGTGCCAAGCCTTGTAAGATGGTTCTGGATGCAGATTTAGTGCCTTTGAGGGACTTTTTTCCCCTTGGGGAAAACACAGCCTTGAATTGGAAGCATATTGGAGGCTCTCCCAATATCCACCTCCAGCTCCTATTTGTGCACGATGCCTTTTGAACCCCCAAAAAGCCACACAACACCACTCCTTCAACGCTTGTGACGCCCTCAGCGTCTCCACAATGAGCCTTGCTGGGAGGAGCCCGCGAGAAATCATAAATAAATGGGTAAAAAAGATAAAAAAGGGGGAAAAAGGGGGAAAAAAGGGGGAAAGGGGGGGAAAAAAGGGCAAAAAGAGGCCAGCAGCCCTCCCTCCCTCACTGCCTCCCTCCCTCCCTCTCCTCAGCTGGCCCCGCCCACCCCCTCATAACCCCGCCCACCCCTTGACCACGCCCCTCCCTCTAAGCCACGCCCCCTCCCTCCTCGCCCCTTCCCATCCCCGTTGGCTCCCCGCCGCCGGCGCCACGTGACGAGGGAGGGGCGTGGCCCGAGCCGCGGGGCGGGGGGCGTGGCCAAGCGGGAGGGGGCGTGGCCAAAGCGGCGGCGGCGGCGCGCGCGCGGGACGGGAGCGGAGCGGCGGCGGCGGCGGCCTCGGGACCGGCAGCGGCACCGGGAGCGGGTCCGGGACCGGCGGGGGCCGCATGTGCGGGAGGGGGGCGGCGAGGACGGCTTGGGGCCGAGCCGGGAGGAGCTGCCGGAACCGCCGGAACCGGCGAGCAGGTCGGTAACGGGAGAACCGAGCGGCGGGGAGGGAGATTAAAGGGGTTTTGGGGGGGGAAATGGGGTTAAAAGGGGGGAAATGGGGTTAAAAAAGAGGGAAATGGGGTGAAAAAAGAGGGAAATGGGTGCGGGGGGAGACACGGGGTGGGTCCACGCGTGGGAGAGGCTGTGGGTGCGGTGAGAGCCGGGAGGGGGCGGTGGGAAGGGGGGGGCACGGTGAGGGGGTCCCGGAAATTTTTTGGGGGGGCAATTAGGGTTGCAGGGTGCAATTAGGGTTGTAGGGTGCAATAAGGTTTGGCCTGCATGGTGCTCAGAGCCTTGCACAGAAGGGCGAGCAACGTTGCATGGTGCATGCCTTGCACGCTGTGGCTATCTTTGCTATTTCTGGTCGGATTCTATAGTTTTTTTGGGGTCAGATCATCGATAATAGGGTGCTGTGAAATGCTGGTGGGTGTTTGTAAGGCTGAGGGCTTTGCACACCCGCCAGCATCCGGCACGGGTACCTGGATACACCCCGGAGCTGCTTCTTGTGTCGTCAGTAGGCTTCAGAGTTAACAGCCCGGGTGCTGGCTGTGCCAGCAGCCAAATCCCTGGCCCGGGGGGACGTCAGATCCCAGCAGGGACCGTCACACGTGGCATCGGGGTCAGGTGGAGGAAGCGACTTTTACCCTTTGGGGAATGCCCTGCGCTCCCCCCGGGGGAGCAATCCTCGTGCTCCCTCGCCCGAGACCCAAAATAGCCGTGTCACCGGAGCCCCGCGAGCTTTTCGTCCCCGATGGCAAAAGGCGAAACCTTTCGGGGAATAACACCATGCTTAAAGGTTGGGAGGGGACCTCTGGAGGTCGGCTTCCTCCACCCTCCTTTCTCGATCACCGATTTAATTTCATTTTTTGCGTGCGCCTCGATGACTGCGAATCACCAGAAGCATCCTCTGCAAAGTGCATTTCTTTGCTTCATGCCTGCAAAGACAGCCAAAAAAGCCGCGTTTAGGCCCGTTTCCAGCTTAATCATCCCTTGCGAAGGGTGGAAATCGGTGCCTTGAAACCCAGCGGCGCTCGGTATTAAAATAGCCGGCAGTAAACACGGGCTCCTATCGATAACCTTAATGACGGGTTGGGTTTCGTCTTAAATAGATGCGCGTTGCCACGCCGTAGGGAAGTGCAGGTTTAGCATCCAGACGGGGCGTAGCATGTTGTTGTAGTGTCAGTGGGGAAAAAAAAATATGGGGTGTTATCTCTGATGTGTTGTTGGGGAAGAAAATGGCAAATTTTGGGGTTGGGAGTATGGGACTTGTTTCTGGGCACCACGTGGGTGTTGGGTTGGCCCAGCTTTGGAGGTGCAGCATCCCCGTTTGCATCTTAGAAAGGGTTGGTTGGGGTGAGCAAGTCTTAATACTCTGCAAAAACCTACACAGATGTTTTTTTGGGGGTTCTTTTCCCTCTGATTTTATCCCAAAACCGATGGAGGCGAGCAGCGCCCGCCGCTCCGTTACGGGCTCGGTTTTACCCGTTTACGCCACTTGGCGAACACGAGAAGGGCCCGGATTCCTGTGGCAAGGAGCCCTTAAAATTTCAACAGCTCTACCTATAAATATAGGCAGCGTGAAAGGCAATCCGCCTTCAAAAACAAAAAAAAAAATAAAAAAGAAAAAGAAAATAAATAAATAAAGGCCCCACGCTCTTTTTTTAGTCCAACCGTATCTGCCCGACTTGAGCGCAATGCAGCGCGTCTCCGGCCGGGAGCCTTCAATGCCTCTTGCTGATTTCTGTACGGGTAAAAATGGGTGTAAAGGTGGTGTTTTAGGGTGAAACGCAGCGGGATGTGATGGCAGGAGGATTGCAGTGGGGTGTTTTTTGGGATGGTGGAGCTGCGGTGCCGTGGGGCGGCGCGCGTGGAGCCCGGAGCATCCCTTTGGGTGCGAGATGGTGCCTGGGGTGCGAATTGAAAAAAATCATAAAAAATAAAGAAGCATGGCTGGGGAAATCCCCTTCGGCGAGGCGTCCCCGGTGAGGAGCTGTGGGTCACCTTGCGGGGCCAAAGCTTGGGGTGGGGGAAACCGGGTGCTGGCGGCGCGGGGAAGCGCTGCGTGTGCACTTCGCCCCGGCGCGGAGCAGACAGGCTCCGCACGTGACCGTCTGCATTTCAGCTGATCTCTGGACCACTCTGCCAACAGGCTCTTCTCGCAGCTCGGCGGCCGTGATAGCGCTTCTTTTTTTCCCCCTTCTTCCCCTCCCCTTCCTTCTTTCTCCGTCCTCCGCCTGCTTTCCGAGCCCAAGGCTGCGACAGGGGGGGAGCCCGGCTGCAGCTGCGCGGGGTCCGCATCCAAATGGTTTCCTGGAAGGCGAGTTTTTGTGTGTTTTTTTTTATCTAAAAACGATCCTTTTCCCTTCGTCTCTGCTGGTTGCGTCTCGGTTTTCCTTCCTCGTGGCACGGGCGGATCAGAGGAAGGCTGTGGGGACCAGGGGTGGGGGAAGGAGGGATCGAAGGGGGGGGGTTTTATGCCCTCGCGGATCTCCCCGCTGCGGTATCGTGCCCGATCGATGGCAGCTCCGTCCCCTGTCATCTCTGCGATAGTTCCCGGCGATTTCCTCTTGACGTCAGTGCAGTTAATCAGACAGGGAACATGGGAGCTGGCAGCGCCGCTGCCTCTGAGCGCCTCGCAAAGCCTTTGGGGGGGGGGACACCGGGCGCCCACACGGGATTGTGCTGGGGGGGATGGCATCGAGGCAGCCTTTCAACCCGGGGAGAGCTGGCTGCGGAGCCAAAGCAGTGTTCTTCACCCTTAACAATCCTCCCTGCATCTGTTTTTTTTTTTTCTCTTTAAAAAATATTATTATTATTTTTCCTGCTAATAATAAGGGAAGCAGCGCAATCCCCTACACCTGCTGCATTGCCGGAGGCAAGGACCCGAGAGCCCTCCGTGATTTTTAAGCAGCCTCCATCTCCCTACCCGGACCTTTTTCTCCTTATTTTTATTTATTTTTATACCCCTAAGCATTACGTGAAGACACCCGATGGCTTTTTTTTTTTTTTTTATGGCTGGGCTCCCAACGCGGGTGGCGATACCCGCGGAGCCAGCGCCACCCCCAGCACCCTGCGGGAGCCCCTCACGTGGCGCTGCTTAATTACAGACTTAACGAAGCATCTCCCTATTTCCACCGAGACCTAAAAACGTTCCCTCCTGGCCAAGGGTTTTACAGGGGAGGCCGAGCTGGGCAAGAAAACGCTTCCCGGCGGCACCCTTGGGAGCCGCGCACCGAAATGGGAACGCCCGCGTCCCTCCAGCCCTGCCCTCCCTGCCGAGCCCTTTCCTTCCCTATCCGACCTGCCACTCAAAGCCTCTCCTCGCCGCTGTGTTTTTCCACAGTCGGCTGCCCGAGCGTGACAGGGGCGAGAAGAAAAGCAGAACGGGGCCGGGGACGCAGCCACACAGGTGGGCTGCGGTTGGGTCCCCCCCATCCTACACCCTCGAGGGTGTTTGGCGCCCCATCCCACCTGCCTGCGCCTCTCCCATAGGGCTCCTGCTCCTCCAGGTAGCCTAAGCAGAGCAGCCGAGATGCCCCGAGATAGGTGAGGAGAGGAGAACATCCCCATAACCCTACTGGGGCAATGGGGAGAGTGATGGGGCTACGGGGTTTTGCTTTAGGAACGGCCCCAACCCCTTGGTGGCATCTCCCAGGGCTTCCAGGCTCCAGGCAGGACCTGTCACCAGCTCAGGCTCAGGACCCCCCCTCAGGGCCTATTTTATTTTATTTTATTTTATTTTATTTTATTTTATTTTCATTCAGGATGTTTTCTAGCAAATCGCTGGAGAAGCACTCAGGAACTTTTGGGGTTCACGGCGCATGCGGAGCAGACCTGGCCCCAGCCTCTTGGCTTTGGGTTTTTGGGGTCACAGCCCCCAAGCCCCACTCCTGCTCCAGGCGAGCAACGTAGCTGGGTGCATTTTTCATCTCTCATTGACATATGGGCTTAAAAAACCCCATAGTGTCCGAGCTAAGCAGGGTAACACTTCATAGCTGGGCGCAGGAGTTAATTTTCCTTGCCTCTGCCGTGCCCTACAGCTTTTTTTTTCCCATGCAGCAGGACCGCAGGGAAATGGGGGCGCGAGTCCGGGCGATCCCAGTGTCCACCCAGGGGCCCCCTCCGTGTGAACGGGGTCAGCAGCTGGGAAATGGCAGAGCGGAGTGGTAATTCCCAGCTGCCACGAAAGCGGCTCTCAAATCAAATTCCCTCCGAGGAGCAATTCCAAGTATTTGAGGGTTTGAACTTTTCCGGGGAGGACTTTGGGAGCTGCCGGCTGCCGCGCTGCACCCTTGGCACCGCGAAGAAGAGACCCGGGGGAATGGGTTTCATTATCCCAGCCTCTAAAAGATTTGTTTGGTTGGTTTTTTTTAATGTATAAATCATTATTTTTATTCGTTAGCTGCGTGCCCGCTGCGACGACCCAGGAACGGAGCCCTGCTGGAAGCAAAGCTTGCCCTAAACCCCAGAAGGGTTGCAGGAGATGCCCGTGGGGCTCGGTGGCCCTCGTGGTGCCACCCTACCTGTCCCCACACGTCCCCAAGAGCTGGGTGCCCCTTGCCATGCATTCCTCGGCCGGCACTGCTTGGTAACTGTGGGCACAACAGAAAAACAAACCTCGCAGCGAGCTTCGCTCTCCCAGAGCCCCTGAAGCTCGCTTTAAAAAAAAAAAAAAAAAGACTTTGGAGCGATGTGGTCTTTTTTTTTTTTTTTTCTCATGCTCATGAAAATTCTCATACCAAAGCTGTAACCTCCGCTGCCCCCGCTTTCGTTGGGTTTTTAAGGTGGCTTTTTGGGGGCGTCGGAGGGGAGGTTTATCCAGCCCCGCTCCCCAGCCTCTTTTTGCTCACGAAGAAGGCAAAAAAAAGAAGGGTTTTGGTCAAAAAATGACCAACAAAGTGCAGCTGGGGACAGGCTGGGTACCCCAAAACAGGGATAATGTGCAAATGCAGCTGGGTTGGAAGTAGCCCCCATAG